GATACTTTTTCTAAGACATGAACTGTTCAGATAGCCAAGTTCCCCGAAATAAGTCACTTTTTTAACCATCTTGACAGCTCTCTTAACTGTCATGTAAATGCCGCGTCACGCAAAAGCTTAGAGATTCAAGTGCAGTGTATCACAAAACCAAGAACCCATTCGGAGCGAAAATGTGTATAAATGTTAGTTTTTAGCTGCTCTTACACATCATTAAAGTAAAACCTGAGGAAGATCAATAGTTCTGTAGTTTGAAGTTTAGTGACGTCATGTGAAAACCAGCTATAAATAGCTTTTCAAAAAATTTCAACGGTTATACTTTTGAAAATGTATGTTGACTAGCATACAAAACGTCAAGTTCATAAAATGCATGTTTTTAAAATGTTTATCAACACTGTTTGTGTTATATTTTCACATCAAACTAAACTAAAATAAAAACGCCCTAAGACACATGCGCCTACGCTTTCCATATTTGTAGAGCATGGGATAGGGGCTCACACGTCATGACGGCTAAGCCAATAAAAACTCTCTAACTGCATTATCCAATGGTCCAGTTTCTAACAATGTCAATTATATAAAAAAAAAAAAACTGGATCATTGGATAATGCAATTCGAGAGTTTTGATTGGCTTAGCCATCATGGGTTATGAGCCATAATACCATGCTCTACAAAAATATGGTAAACGGGCGCGTGATTTTTCGGGGTGCGTGTTTTTTTGTTTTTTGTTTTAAATTTTTGTTTAGTGTTGTATAATTTGAGGCATTTTTAATAAAACTAATTATTCCACTCGCGCTTGTTGGATATGAGATGGTTGTAGCCAACTCATCTTTAACCCGCGCTCGTGGAATAATTGTTTCAATCAAAACTATAACAAAATTCTCGAACGTGATTGGCTATCAGCAGCCCCATTTGAGCATTAATCGGACAGTGCATACGCGTCAGGCTTGTAATTGGACAGTACGCGTCATTTTGCGCGCGCTGTTGCGGTGCACTTTGTTGAGTAAACTGCTGT